TTGTCCAGGTTGCCTGATCACCTTGGACCCTCCGTTGTGTGTGAGTGTTGCCGCCCACTGGAAGCCCTGTTAAGGTTAGGTGAAGGTATATGCAGCCTGGTTGCTATGTCCTAGACTTTCTGTGAAGGACAATGTATTAATTACATACTATTATGGCATAAATTGTCACAAACGTAGCAGCTTAAAGCAGAACGTATTTCTGCATATTTCTGTGGGAGTCTGGGTATGGGTTAGCTGGGTGCCTTGCTTCAGGGCCTCATACAAGCCTGTAGTCAAGTGTTAACCAGGGTCTCATCTGAAGGCTCAGCTGTGGCAGGATCTGCTCCTGAGCTTAGCTGGCCATCGGCAGACTTTGATTTACTCCAGGGGTGTTAGGCCTCAGTTCTTCTCTGGTTGTTGGCCAGAGTCCCCTCTCAGTTCCCTGCAGGGTGGGTCTCCCAAGCTTGCTTCATTACAACCAGCAAGAAGAGTCATTTGAGTCTGCTAGAAAGACAGAGGTCACCCTCCTGTAACCTTATCACCCTCATAACTGCATATCACCTCTGCCATATTCTGTGACTTAAAAGTAAGTTCCCTACTCAAAGAGAGGGGATTATACCAGAAGCCACATCAGAAGCTGCGTACACCAAGCCCATTTTAGGAAGACCCTGTAACATATGGGTAAGAGGGAAGCTTTCCATGTCACTTAGAGCTGATTCAAATCTCAGATCTGCTGTTTACTAACTGGTTACCTGGCCTTTCTCAGCCCTTCTCCTTAACCATATGGCCCCTTCCCCATAGGAGTGTTGTGTTCCTAAGTGAGAGATTACATGTAAAGCCTTGCAGAATGGTAAGCACTCAGTAAATGTCAGCTACTAGCCTTTCTGTTCATCCTTGCCTTTTATTTTATTATTATTTGGGGTGGGGGGCTTCTCTTAAAATAACATTAGAGTTTTTAAATGCTAGAAGAATAGCCAGAAACTCCCACTGCCCTCAGACTTGCTTATTCATGTGGAAATCCCAGCCCTGTGGGTGGTTTCCTGAGCTTAGAGCTACTACCAGACTTGCTACAGTGTCCTCCCGTTTCCCTAGGGCTTGGGACGGCAGAACAAAGGTCTTTGGCCTCAGGAGAGCCGCAGCTTCCTGCTCTAGTGACCACAGGAGCTCCTATCCCTGGTCTGTGTGAGCAGCTACGTCCCCTGCAGAGGACCTGGTGACCGAAGGTGTACTCAGCTGGCCTGCTGTGCTCCCCCATCCTTGCATTTCTGGTTGGGGTACTGAGTCCAACATGACTTCAGTCCATCCCCAGAGATGAGAACTTAGACAGGGAGACAGGCCCCTTCTGGTCTGCATGCACACCTTGACCTAAGTCATGCCAAGCAGAGAGCAGGCCACCTTCACATGTGCCTGGTGGGAGGGCTCTGCCATCTTCTCTTGTTCCCCGCCCATCTCTCCCTCCGTCTCTCTCCACTTCGTCTCCCTCACTTCCTCCCTCCTCTAGGCTTCCAGGACAGAGAGTCCTTGCACATAGTCCCTGCTTGGCCACCACAAACTATCTTCCATCTCTGCCCTCCTTCCTGACCAGAGGACATCTGCCTTTCGCCCCTTCCCCCATCCTTTGCATCCAGAGAACCTGTTCTTGGTCCCACTGCCCCTGTGGGAGAACTTCCTGGAGTCCTATTGATGCTGACTCTAGGAGCCACTTGCATTATTTTTCTGGGTTGTTCTAATGTCAGTGTGCGTGTGTCCCTCTCCCCAGCTTCTTTGGGGATACAAATCTTCTGGAGCTCTTGAGCACCCACCCTGCTGGCCCTTCCCTGGAGAGCCAGGTTCCAGGAAGCCTAGGAGAACACCTGTTTTCAGTGATTTCCCAGCTAATTCCTGTCAGGGAGATTTAGAAACACTGGCTGAGTGTGCTGCGACCCAGCCCAAGCCCTCTTCCTTGCCAAGGGGAGCAGGAGAGAGCCCTGAAGCTCCTCTTTGACCCAGGGAACTGTGTTCAGTCTGTGCAACAACTAGGCATAGGTTTTAGTGTAATTCTGTTCACTAAGAATTTTCTTTAGTGGCTGCCCTTTAAGTCACTCCATCTTCTTATGTATGCAGGAGAATGCCGCATGAGGAAGTGTTCTTCTCTATGGCATTGTACTTAGACGATTAGGAAAATGTGATGCTGGGTTGACAGTGGAACAGCTGGGTAGTCCAAACATCAGATTTCCCCACTTGACTTGATGGCGAGGCTTCTCTTCCTGTACACACGCTCACCACCTCCTGCCCTCTCTAGACAACAGATGCGGGGAATTACAATGAGAATGTGGCTTTCGTGTCTGCAGCTGGCGCCCAGCTGCTGGAAAAGTGTTGGTTTAGGGCCAATTGGGTGGGTGAAATTGACAGAGAAATGTCCTCGTGATCCACATCCCTGGAATCACATGTCCTGCTCCAGGAAACCTGGAAGGGAGGTTTCACGGAGGAAGGAATTCTTTCTAGTCTCTGGTGATTCTTTTAGAAATGGCTGCATTAAATAGCATTAGCAGCTTGCCCTTAGAGAAAAGGTTGAGGAAGATTTCTGCGTTTCTCTGCAGCATGCTGACATCGTGGTGTCATGCAATATCTCTGGCAGGAAGCTCAAATGGTGAATTGCTTTCCTAGGAAAGTTTCTCCTGGAGAGCTTTCTTTCCAGTAACAAATCCTCCACAGTTGAGTTGGGTTCAAAGATTGCTTTGCTTAAAACTTCATCCAGAGACCAGAGCACTGAAAATTCACTTTTCCCTTTGATTTTTTTGGTATCTATTTGAATGTCTGATTTTTTTCATGTCATGTCTTTTGACATTGTAAGGCTTTAAGAAATTAAATTCACTAGGCCAAATTTAAGCCTTTTGATTTAATTTTGTATCTCTAAAAATCACTTATTAAATCTATAGCCTTTTATGGATTATGGGGTTATTTTTATACATTGGTGTCTTTTTTCTATTTTTATCTTATTTGAACACATAAAGATTTTTGAGACAGTTTGCCTATAGACCTCTTTCTTAAATAATATTCTATAATGAGCCTGTGTTTCATTCTTTTATTTTGTAAAGTAGATGCCTTAAAATATGATGGTGCAGTGAAATCCCTTAGTTTTTGTTCACTTACCTTATTTATTAATGCGTATTGTCAGGATATAATTCATTCTCCACTAACCAGAAAGAAACACAGATAATATACTAATTTAGTTAGCAAACAGAGAAAGAGTTTACAGCTGTGTGGGATGAAAACAACAACAGTAATATAGAGCAACAGTAACAAATAGATGGATTTGGTGAATTCTACCTAAAACTCAAAAGAGTTTTACATAAGTCTACAGAAAACTTTACGACTTGGTGAAATTGTCCTTAAATGGTTTCTTAAGTAAACTAATGAGATACCCATAAAGATATGAAATAATTCCATCATTCAAAAGTTGCTAT